TCCAAGCTATCTCAAACAATTTCTCCCTCTATGAGCCTGCTCAAGTATCAAGATCATCAGGAGGGCGCCTTTCTCTCAGTCACAGGCATGTTTGGTGGGGACATGATAAGAGGGCCTTTTCTGCCGCTGCTCCAAGACTTTGGAATTGCCTCCCAAAGATGTGTAATAGTTTTACCCTATGAAACCCTAAATGACTTGGGTCCAAGCTATCTCAAACAATTTCTCCCTCTATGAGCCTGCTCAAGTATCAAGATCATCAGGAGGGCGCCTTTCTCTCAGTCACAGGCATGTTTGGTGGGGACATGATAAGAGGGCCTTTTCTGCCGCTGCTCCAAGACTTTGGAATTGCCTCCCAGACCAGACTCGTGATAAGAGGGCCTTTTCTGCCTCTGCTCCAAGACTTTGGAATTGCCTCCCAGACTGGCCCCATCTTTGCTGTCCTTGATGGCACATAACAAGAAGAGATTTATGGCTCCTGGTCCTGGAAGTCACCTCAGTCTTTCTAGACACAACTTTCTAGACACAACTTCATTCCATAACTCCTGTTAATCCAGAACACAAAAATATTTCAGCACCAAGCACTAGTGCAGTAAATATGCCTCTCCTCTTTCACAAAAAGGATGATAAACATGTAACTGACAATAAATCAGCAGGTACCTGCTTACATGTTGCTGTGCTAAACCATCCCATAAACAAAATGCTTACTGAACCCATGAACTCAAAAAAAACCCATGTTTACAAAGTGTATTCCAGATGCAGCAAATACACTTCTCCCTTCAACAATGCTGGTTATGGGTGCGAGCATAGCTCAAAATCTGTGTATAACTCTTATGCCTTCAAAAACTGCAAAGCATAAACATATGATTCTCTCTCTCTCTCTCTCTCACACACACACACACACAGAGAGAGAGAGAGAGAGAGAGAGAGAGAACAATTCTCTTTTATCAGGATTGTCCTCCATAGTATTGATACTTTCCATACAGTACTGTGCATAATGAGTCTTGAAAGTCCTTATGGCCCCCTGGATCGAGACACTGATTTAGAGATGTGTTTGGAGGCAAGTAAACAACTTTGATATCTTCAGCGTTGAACTCTTGGGGTTATAGGTGGCCTGGGGCACAGCATTTGAATATTTATTTATGTACTGAAAATAAAATCTGTGTCTAACCAAAACCTGTTCAATTCAAGGGAGAAGTACTGTATAAGCAGAGTTCTACCCAATAAGCGTTTCTCAAGCTATTGAGAATGCTATTCTCTCCCCTTCTATATGACATTTATTCATTATATCCATTGCTGTTGTTATTTTACTGCTACTACACATTGTAAAGTTCTTGGAAACAAACAGGCAAACCAGCGTAAAAATACAAAGAAAAGCCACTTTCATGAAGCAGGAAGAATATATTGCCCTAACATTACAACTTTAATAATTTAGTAACAAAGGTCATCTAAATATTTTGATCCCAGTGATAGTGTTGTTTCCTCCAATTAAAATAGGAGAGCTCATTCATCAAATAACTGGTACTCATGGAATAGGCAGTATAAGTGTCATGCACTACCTCATACTCATATTTAACTTCTAACATATGTAAAGCATTTCAACACCTGCCATCCTTTCCCTGCAGCAGGAAAACTCCCAGTTTCGTTCACAGATTATGGGGAACAAGACACTGGACAGTGTCTACTTACAGACTTAACTGTCTAAAAGATATGGCAGAAAAGAAAAAGGGACTGAGAGATAAGAGAAAAATGAGGAAACTCAAACACCAACTCTTTAAGTAACTAACATAATTACTTTTTTTTCTGACAGTGCATCATCTTTGTTCAGCTTCAGTGAAGCAGAACCAGAATTACTAACTTCTTTTATCAAAAAAGAAAGAGAAAAGCAAAGCCACACTGAACCACAAACCTGTTGAACAGCAATTTAATTAGACTGAGAAGTTCACAATTCAGACAACTTTTGTTTTAAATACTGTCTTTTAATGTAAGTTACTTTGGGTCCTTTTTAAGGAGAGGGGAAGGGTAAACATATTTTAGTGTTAAAAAAAATAAACTTGACTTATTGAGTGGTCTAAAAGGGTGATAAATAAATCAAAGTGCTACCTGCCCTTCTCTTATTAGGCTACCACTTTAAGCAGAATGTTAAAACAGACATCAAGCAGCACATTTGTCTACAGTTTATAATTCTCTGAGCTCATGTAACAATTTAAATACATGAATCAAACATGTCCTGTAAGTCAAGGACTTGGCATGGGAGTTTTGGTATTCATGGACAACAGCCCCCAGAAGCCTGCAGGAATTCGTCCAGCCAGATGTCCTGGGGGTGTGCGTGTGGAGGCTTTAATCAAAAAGTGAAAGTCCTGACAGTTAAGGAAAAGGCTGTGTGGTCCCCAAAGACCACACAATGTAAGAGTGGTTGATAGTTTTTAATTGCATCACTAAAATTCAAACAATTTGCAAACTTTCGTGGAGAATTTATTTATTTAAAATATTTATATGCTGTCTTTCTCCTGAAAGATCTTAAGGCAGCTTGCAGTATAAAAAAAATTAAAAGGCAAATAATAAATTATTATATTAAAAAAGCATCAAATATCTTATTAAAGCTCGCAATAAGAACAATATTAAAAACACAGAAAAAAAATACTCTTTAAAAGATCCCCTTTGTCAAACCAGTAATTTAAAGAAAATCCTGCTTGAAGAGAAAGGTCTTTGCCTGCCTGCAGAAGAATAGCAGTGATGGGGCCAGACTCCTGTGGGAGGGAGTTCCAGAGTCTGGGAGCAGCAACAGAGAAGGTCCTCTCTCATGTCCTCACCAAACACATCTGTTAGAAAGGTCTCTCTTATCTTAATACTCAGGTAGGCAGATAGCCTCTGGCAGACGTGAAGAAAATTCCACTTCTTCAGACTTAGCATATTCACTTTGTGGATAGTGCAGAAAAATTGTACATGAGTCAAAAAAACAGTGGTATGTGTTTGTGAGAGTTGATGTAAGTCCTCTTGCAGCTGGGTCTCAGGCCTCTCTGTATTCTGATTTGGAATTTCAACACCTCTCTCCTAGGACCAAAAGGCTGGCAATTGTTCCGTGATTGTGCTCCTTCCCATACAAACACAGGTTGCCTGCTTTGAAACTCCACTTTATTCGCCTGGTAGAAATCACCAATTGTGCCAAATTTAAGTCAAAATGGTATTTTTACCTAGTGAGCAAAAGATGTTTCTTCAGATTGTAGTAACCTCTAGTTCAGACCCATAATCCTTTGTGGCTCCCAGAGCTTAACCCACCCATCTCTTTCCTTTGCCTTCATCACAGAACAAAAATGAATTCTAGGGGCTGTAGTCAATGAATTAAAAAAACCATGCCTACCAAGTATCCTTTAGTCCAGTGGTCCCCAACCTTGGGCCTCCAGGTGTTCTTGGACTACAACTCCCAGAAGCCTTCACCACCACCTTTGCTAGCCAGGATTTCTGGGAGTTGAAGTCCAAGAACATCTGGAGGCCCAAGGTTGAGAACCACTGCTTAGTCCCCTTAACTTGCTATCCATCTTCCCTTTCTAAATGCCAGAGCATCTCTTTCAGATGTCAATAGATCATCCATTAAATGAGATTTACTTACCCTCAAAGGCAATACAATTGTTAAGTCAGGTGGGCAGAAACACAGGGCTCATTTTTGCAGGAGGTATTTGTTAACCTGAAGGATGAAAATATTTGTCATGTAATATACAAAAGGAAACCAGACAGTAGAGTTGTGAGACAGCCTGTTGCAAGTTCTTCTTCTGCAAGCTTTGCTACTCAAAATGCTGGATGAGTTTACCAGCAAATCAAACTCCAGATCAACAAGTATTATGGACTTGGCAAAGGAGACTTAGGATAGGAGTCCATGTATTCCTTCTTTTTTGGTTAATTTTTGTTATCTTATTTTAAAGGCAATATTTTGAGATTTGAAAACTGCTCTCAGTGTCTGTCATTACTTGGTGATACGTTCATTACCACAGACCACAACGAATTTCAGTTATTTGAGAAAATGCAAGCCTGGAAAGGAGTTATGTACACCTGTGCAGGGTACAAAAAGAGGATTTCCATAGTAGCTGTTATTATTTTTTGCTTTTACAGAAAATCAATTCTCAATTTTTTGATAGAGTGGTTTTTTTTACATGGCACCTTTTAAATTAGATCTAGGAAAAAAACTCCCAATGCATTTCAAGCACTGATCTTTGGAAGAACATTGTATAACTTTAAACTGGTTGTACCTGCTATGTATTAGGAGGTAATGCTGTGACCAGAAATACATTAGCAAGTTAAAATGTGAATAAAAAGGGACATCTTACACAATACAGAATCTTGTGATCATGAGCTTTTGTTGCAAACACTCACCTTCACCGCTACTTAATACGTAAGAGGTTCTAATCCCTTATATACTCAATAATATGAAAGAGCCAGCCTCTGTTATATGTGCAACCTGCAAGAAACACCAAGTATTTCTCTACATTTGGTTGATTTGTGATGACAGCTGAAACATGTTGATTCTTGAAAATGGAATTCTATTTGGATATAACGGCTGCTCTGTGAAGTTTCTAAGAAGTCATAATCAGAACATATGCAACTATTTAGTTCTGTGCTAGAGACCATAGACTATATACAAACAGTAACTGCAGAGGTAACCAAACACTGGGCTTTGTTTTGGAACGCTCAATCACTCTTTTACCATTGTTTGACCTTGCAATATTAAGGCATTACACAAGGTGTTGGCTTGCAACAGCAGTAGTTTCCACAGGACCCGCAGGCTAAGAGGCATGTTGCCCATATGCCAAGGCATTAGATTCTCTTTTAATGTTTAGTTTAAGGGCAGAATCCAATCTGATCTAGTGACACAAGAAGACTATTTGCTGAGGGAGATGTCGATTTCTGTGGTTCAAATGTTTGACCAGAGAAGTTTTTTTCAAGCCATAAAATAAATCTTTTCCCCTATGCTCATGTTTGCCCGCAACAGAAGCCACATCACACTGTGATACTGAGTCAAATTAATTTTATTATGCTCCATGATGAATTGCCACCAGTGCAACATCCTATTCACTGTACATTTAAAAAAAAGCCAGAAAGAAAATTCACATACCAAGAAGTTCGATTTGATGAAACAGAAAATTGAATGACTGAGATGTTTTCAGAGTACAAGCGGCTAGCTGATATTACTGAAGCATGGTGTTGAGATATAGTCCTCATGCTCATTTGCTAATTGCCAAGACTACTTGGACAGTCATTTTAACTGGCACACGAGGCTGGCTTGTTACAATGGTTAGCTGTAGTGATTTAATGACATGAAACCCTGTCTCTTGCCCACGCTAGAAGCAGGAGAATGTGGAAACATGCAGCTGAGATTTTGTAGCCTAACTGTAACTGCAGTCATGCCTTAAATTAAAACCATACAATATGCTATTGAAAGCAAAACATTTGAACGTGTGTGCAATTACATGGATTAATTTCTATAAGAAAGAAAACACCAAAGCCCCATTGGACAGGTGATTAATAGATTACACAAGCATCCCGAAAATATTAAATCTTTCCAAACGTTCTCCAGAAGCATGTGCTTTGTTTATGCTGATAAGAAACATCTTTGGAGGCCACCTGAGCAGTATCCACTTTTTAAAATGCCCTTTATTATTCCATAACTACACAAAACACTAAACACCTGTACTGAAAGTCCTCAACTCTTCCTCCCATGGACACACATTCTTTGTCCTACTATTTAGCTTTAATCAGACTTTAGCCATACTGCTTCTAGTCCTTAAACTACAGTAGCAGTAGTGCTAGCTGGAAGTTCCTCTAGCAGCAGGCAAGGTGGTGAACACCATCACAAAGGAAAAAACAACCTGGAAAACATCTCCTTTGCCCAGGTTATTTTTTTAAAAAGAAAAATTATCTCCCCTCTGAATAATTTAGCGTCTGCTTTATTACACCTTCTTTCATCAACATGACATTTTAAATCCTGGTCTCCTTATGCAATTAAAAATGCTAGACTTACGTAGTAACTGCACTAGATTTCCAAGCCATATCATGCAGGTCCAGCCTGCCAATATCAGGACAACACTGGATTTTCAGTAAATACAATTGTATCCAATATATCATGAATAGAGTAAGAAAAAGAGGAGAGAAAAAGGAAGCACGTGTTAATTGTACTCCAAATATGTCTTGCTTGAAATATTTTGCATAAGACGAATGAAATTTCTAATATTTTCTATGTAAAGGTTTTTTTTACTGTGAACACTGTACTGTATTAGCATTAGCAATGCCTATCTTAAATGCGCAATGCAGAAAAAATAGGCAGAAACTCCAAATATTAAATTTGTTAGTAAAGATGGCAATTGAGATGAGAATTCAAATTTTCCCATCGTGTATTGGAATGTAATTCCAAGCATAGGGCCTTCCATCTTTTAAGATTACGTTCCTTGCTATTATTTCTAAACATAAGACAAATCAAATAATGTAATATGAAAGTTCATTACATATAAAAAGCAGTGGTTTAGAAATGCAGTAGTGAGCCTCTCCCAAACTGTAAAAGGCATACAGTTCAATTAACTCTACCCACTCAAGGTTCAGAGATGTATGAGGAATACTGAACAGGGTCTCGGCTGCAACAGCATTAACATGGTGACAGGCAGATAGGTCACTCAGTCTCGCTCACTATCTGGCTGAAAACACACAAAGACGCGAGAGCTTTATTCAGTTACTCAGTAGCCAGATGGGCTGAATGTGTGATGAAGGAGAGGGAGTCCCATTCATTATTACCTTTCCTTAAGTGAGGGAACAAAACTGAAAAAGAGAGACTGGTTAACTGGCTCAGATGGAGATCCCTAAATGGACTGATGAGCCTCCTTCTCATTTTCAGATGTTGCTTTATGTAACCTAAGCAGTAACCGTGTGTGTGTGTGTGTCTGTGCATACATGTGTGACAAATGAGTCTCTTCCTGCACATGTTTAGGCCACCCAGATACTGAATAAATAGAGCATATAGCCTTAGGAACGCAAAAGCATTAGTGAGGAACTCAGGCTTTTACCCCTCCCCAACTGTAGCAACTGTTCCCAGGATTGCAGGCAGCCTATCAGTCAGGAGAAAAATATATTTAAGGCACCCATTATCTATTAAATGCTTTTGATTTCTAGACACAGATCTGATGCCTAACAGTGTTGGCTTTGAACCATCATCCATAAAGATTGCAGAGTAACACCACTCCTTCATTTATTAGTTTACTGATGCCCTACACATTTACAAATTAATTTAAATCCATTATTATTCAGAAGAAGCATTAACCACAGCCCTTCAGTAAAAAAACCCACATTATATAAAAATAAATAAGTTGACTGCAGCAGTTGCCATAAACGTAGACCCTTCTTCACTGATAAGGGCAGGTGGCAAAATGCAGTTAATGTAGTTTACATCAAAAAGGTCACACACAGTGACCATCTGGGATGTGACTCTGTTCAGCATTCAAGGGTAAAAACTCTTCCAATAGCAAGGAACACTGCTCCAGAATCAGGGAAACATTTTCATGACCACTGATTTTTGCTGTTTATGAATAGCTTAAATGCTAAACTTGAACTGCAGTGTTATGAGCAGAGATTGTTCATCTGCTTTATCAGCCTCATTCATGTAGCACAGTTTCCAAGATGAAGGGACAGAAGCTGCATTTTGTTAAAGAACATAGTGCTATACTAGGTTTTAATAAGAAAATTTAGATACAGAAAAAGTAGGGTATGAAAATAGTGTTTTCCTTCTTGCATTATAACTAAATACAATTTAAGGTGTGTTTGTCAATCTCACATGTTACATTAAAACTCCCTTACTGATGGAATGGAAAGTATTCACATGTACACTGAGAAACTTGATGTAAACTTGTACACATTAAATTGGGAGTAGCTTTGTATAGGATTATGACAAACCTTTACAGATTAAATGAGGTATTGCACAGATTAATAAAAAAGCAAAAGGCAACAAAAATATACAGCAAATTGGTAGAACATTTACATGATCATCTTAAAGAATCCATAGACAGAAAGTAGTTTAGAATTTCACCTTAAAAATATATATATATATGATATAATATATTGATCAGTCATCCCATTCATCATCATCTTCAAAGTCTTCCTCATCTTCTTCATCCTCATCTTCATCTAATAGTAGGAAATGTTAATTATTTTACAAGAAATAAACAGAAAAACTCACAAGAAAAATAAGTTTTGCTGTTTTTAAAGCAATGATATAGGAACTAGCATGTGCACAGTAACAGGCATAGATATATAGAAAAATGAAAATGTCAGGATGTGGCCTTTAGCTGAAATACATCAATTTTTTTTCCACTGGAGGCACAAATACATGCTTAATGTAACTGTCTTCCCATAATATAAGTGAAAATCTGCTGAATCAAGCTACTGTAAGTGCACTCTTCTCTAAAATTATCCAATAAACTACCTTATGAACCAAATTGCATTTTCTTACACAGAAGATGTTCAAAATTCTTGATTTTATTCAGTTCCCACGGAATTTTGGGCAGGCTTACTGGACTTTGTTTACTTACACAAAATAAGTACACACCACAGAAGGCAGCTACTGTCCTGTCACCATTATGGTGAGGCCTGCCTGATGTTCTTGTTAAAAAAAAAACAAAACCTTCAGTGAGGCTCTAAGGAAGCCCAACATTCCCAAGAAGCCTGTTTTGAAAGCCACTGACCAGAATCCTATTCGTGATTTTAAAGTATATAAGTTAAACTAACTGCCACTGACTGATGAGGCACCAGTTACATTACAAGGCACACACTGAACTGAGCTACAAGTATGTACCCAGTAATGTAACTTGAGTCCTTTTAGTTGGCAGTGATGCACCACATTGAGTTACACAATTTAACTTACATTGCTGAAAATCACCAACTAGATTCTTGCCACCACATTATGCTAGGACTAAAAAAGACAGGACAGAACAAGCTGGTGTTCTCCCAAAGGGATTCATAGCACCTCCAGATGTTTTAGTTTTGAAACAGACCTACTGGGTCCCTGCTATGTCTCCAACCACAACACAAAGTACCAATGCTTCCCTTTAATGTTTGATGTCATCTGCAGCATTACTTAAAGGACCCTCGTTTCTCACAGGAATCCTACTGCAGTCCTAACCTAAGGGCCTACTTCAAATGCACACATGTTCAGAAGTTATGCAGGCAACAACGAATGAGAGGGCCTCATCTTTGGTGTGTGCTCCCTCCTCGTGGCCAATCTCTCTCAGTCCTAAACAAAGAAAGGTTTTATCTCCTAACCCTTTCAAAATATTAGCTAAAATTCACTTTATTCTTTCCTGAAACTGCTCTTTTTCATAGGTTTAAAAAGAAAAACCAAAGCCAAAGTGTTGTTGTCAGCCCAGAAGAAACATCTTGAGCAAAACGTAATACTACTCTAGTGATTCTGGCCTTTTTGTATCTTACAGCCCATGCATCGCTATAGGTTTGCTCAGGAGTTCACATAGATGCCTGAGTAGGGCTTAATAACCATCCCCACCACTTCTTGCCACTCTGAAGACATTAGGACCTTCACACTTAATGTGTAATGGTAAGAAAAGAAGCTTATAAACACATTCAACTGAATGTGCTTACAAAGTTCCCTTATTGGGATCTCTGGCTGAACTGCAGGTAGTAGGGGACGAATGGCAGGGTTTACACTAAGAGTTCCCTTATTGGGAGCTCTGGCTGAACTGCAGGTAGGTGGTAGGGGACGAATGGCAGGGTTTACACTAATCCACATATCCTTATATCGTAAGTAAAATCCTATTCATATTGTTTAGCCAAATGCCTGGATGGGGATTACCTCAACCCTAAATGGGTCTTCACTATGACTGAAATAAAAAGGCATAAAGAAAAACGAAAAAAAGTCATAAAAGCATTTACGTTTGTTAAGTGTTATGGTATAACGCCTACCACTGACCAATATTCCCTCTAATTTTCTGCCAGCACTGAAAACCAAATGGTCATAAGTGTAATATACAAAGCTAATGAAAACTGAACATCATACTTGTAAGAGGACCAAGTGATTAAGGGAGAATGAATTCTTAGCAATCTGTTATGAAAACCCTTCATTCCATCTAGACCAGTTCTGTCTCCTGATGGTGGCACATGGACTGCTGGTTGAGGAACAACTGTTACGATCAATATTCAAGGGGTTTCAATTGTACCAATGTTCAATGTACAACTAATTCAATCTTCCACAGTGATGACAAGTCCTCTTGTTAAAAAAAAATCCTTCAATCTCTCCAGGACATTAAACAGATATTTTTCTATTTACACTCCATTCCATGCTTCTATATATCAAATTTATGGGTTGTTCTGAACAGAGTTTTAGAATGGTATCCTTCCATTTAACAGAAAATTAGTAGTTGCCACAAATTTATTTTCAATGTAGTATTTACTGAGAACAAATCTGTGGACATTTCCAAAGAATTATATTAATACAAAGAACATGGATATTTAATGGAAGAATTCAACCAAATATTGATTTAATGGCTTACCTGAAGAATGAATGACTTTGCTTCTTTTCTGCATAACTTCCATTAATGCCCCCACAATACCTGAAGTGGGTGCAGGCGTCGGTGGTGCAGTTTCCTGGCCATCAGATACCTGAATTCATAAGAATTAAATACCTAAGTCTGCCAACTTTCTATAAACATCCTGAGAACTCTGCAAAGGCTGACATGAGATTGAATTACAGTGCCCAAGCAATGGGCTTTCATATGCTTTGTATTTATGATCCACTGCTGAAGGACTACCAAATTTCCAAAAGTGGCTGGATTTTGAAGGTTTTAGATGGGTCACAATACTATAATCCATGTTAATTACTGCTGAATGTAATGTGCACCAAGTGAAAACAGAATCTGTTATATAGAAACAATTATATTATGTAAATAAAAAAATAAAATAAAAACAGAAGGTCTTGAGGCACCCATGTAATTCTTTTCATCGCCAGGATCCCACTAAGGGCCATGTGACTAGGGAAGGGAGTCTTTAATAACTAAAAATAACTCTTGCCAGCAATTTTTGGTAGTGTAAAGCTCATCCTATTATGCAGTCACCACAGAGGTTCCCAGGACCTCAGGATCTGCAGGGACTGGGACTGGAAATGTTTTATTTCCAAAATAATTCTGCAGCTGATGATGTTATTAGCTTTACATTACTTATAAAAAAGGATTTCAGCCTAAATCAGGTATAAGAACATATCTGGGATTAGGTATGTGTTTTATCTTGAGCAGAGAAAGAGGACTAATCGCAACTGTTAGTCCCAAATAGACTACTGAATCAATGGGACTTTCAAAACTGTAAGCCTGCCGCAAAAGATCTTGTTCATTAAATGGGTCCACTCTCATTGGCACTAACATGTGGATTTTGTCCCAAGACAAATCCAATTCAGGAGAGAGACCACAACAGAAATGAGAAGCTGACAGGACAGAAATCAATACCAATATGAAGAACCTTCCCAAATAGGCTCTGCTTCAAAATCCCATCTTGTGCGAACTGAACTGGAACAGTAACTAAACAAGCCCTACAAGCAAATATGGAATTCTCTCATATTCATCTACCTCCCTTATTGCACTGTAGAAATTGTAATAGCAGTTAAAATTCTGTTTCTGAGTCCATCAGATATATTCCTATCTTGTTTTTAAATAATACTTTTAATCTGTAATCTGTCCATCTTTTGGAATCAACATCTGAAAAGCAGTTAGGAAATGTTCTGGCCAACCAGGAAAACTCATTCCTAACATATATTGATTCCATGTTAGCATTTACCAATTCAGACCAGATTCAGCCCTTCTGTCTATAATGCCAGTTCAATCTTATATTAAGAAAACATAATACTGGAAATCTCTGTTCTTAAGTAACAAAATGGCTCTTTTTTTCTACCAGTTTAGACGTTAAAAAAAAATACTCACAGCCTTCAACTGTATACCCTGTCGTATTTGATCAAGTAGCGCATCTCTTCCCGAGCAGGACACTGGACGACTGTTTTGTTCTACTTTTTTTAATTGAGCACCTTCTCTGATTTGATCTAAGAGAGCTGCTTTATTTCCTGAAGGAGCTGGAAGCTGATGGTCAACTTCCACTGGAAGACCAGGTGGTGGTGGAGGACCAGGAGGNGCCTGCAAGGAGGTGGGGGAGGTGGCGCTGCTGTTGGAGCTCTTGAAGGTGGTGGTGGTGGAGCTCCTCTACCTCTAGCAGGAGGAGGAGGTGGCCCTGAGCTATGTGGTGGGGGAGGGGGAGGGGGAGGAGGACCACCCCTAGAGGGTGGAGGTGGTGGTGGAGCTGAAATAAAAAAGATACAGTAGTGTTAAATCACTTACAACTAAGAACAAATAAAAACACTAAATCTGCAATTCCAATACGGTCATTTAGTAAGTTGAACTTTAAACTAATACAGATTTTCATTGTTTTCCAATGAACTTAAATAGTATAATATTCTGTAAGCATTACAATTGAAACAATTCATTCTTTGTACAAAATGTACGAAAATACGTTACTCTTGAATCCCTGCACAGGACAACGTCTGTATCTGAAAGTTATTTTTTACTTGCAAAGCTTTTATCTAATGAGAACCTCTATTCCCATTCTTGAGAAGGAAATATTTTAAATATATTTTTAATATAGTTGTAAACTATCTAGAGCAGTGGCTCCCAACGTTGGGTCTCAAGATGTTCTTTGACTACAACTCTCAGAAATCCTGGCCAGCACAGCTAGTGGTGAAGATGTCTGTGACTTTTAGTCCAAGAAACATCTGGGGAACCAAGGCCAGGAACCACTGAGCTAGAGGAACCAGCTCTACATACATCTTAATAACTTGCATTTAAGATGCATTGAAATTTGAAATTTAATGTTTTGCATACAATTCTAGCTTCTAATCAATCAAACTATACAACTGCCACTCAAAATAGTTTAAATCTTCATGATTAGAAAGGAGGGACTTGTTTTCCGTACGCACTGTCCAAGATTATTCATTTGTCATGAAATAAACACACATCTTTAACATCTTTAACTGCATCATGGAATCCAACACTGAAGGCAAATTAACTTCTAAATTCAAAACCAACAGAAGCTTCTGAATAATCTTTAATAAATTATTATTATCTAATAAATTCTTTCAGCACTGAGGCTACTTAGGCCAAAGGGGCAAAGCATATATTTGAGAAGAATTCTTACATGGTCAAACAAACTCAGAATTTTGATTTAACTCACCATAGTTTAGCTAAATGTTAAATGAGATATCTACTTTAATCCCATCAGTTTCCAGTAGCAATTTGCCTCATACACTTGCTTTTAGGGACAGATATAAACAAACATCCTAGTGCAATATAAAAAGTGATGCCTCTTTAACGTAATTTCCTGGTACCTGCTATCATTGTAGAAAACATTTTACAAATGAAAGGATTCAGTATTCTGTAGGATACAGGCTCAAACTTTTCCTAAACATAATTTCCAGTAGACATTAGTGCTGCTTTGTGTTAAGATCACACAACAAGTGGTTCACTCAAGTGGACCACTCTTTTAACTAGTCAAATTGCTCCCGACACTCAATGTGGTTTACACACGTCCCAGCCAGATATTAATAAATTCATTCCACTTGATTAAGACCACTGAAACAAATTAAGTGTATAGGCTCTTGCTATTAGAATACACACAAACTCAGGACAAATCCATTATTCAGAATAGCCAAACTGAAATCCATGCACACTTCAAACAGTGATTAAGCCTTATTATTTATGGCCTAGAACACAGTGCAAAGGTGGAAGTAATGAGATGAGTAAATTAAGAGACTTTGGGCAAGATTCACTGCAGGATCAGTATGCCAAAAAAATAAAAAATAAAAATTAGCCGGCCATATAGAATAGCTGTAACTTAGAATGCCAGTATGGCAAACGTGTAATTCTGGTGTTTGGCTGCCCCAATACAGTACTTATATATTCCACATTACACACCACTGCAATGTGAAGAACTTTAAATTTTAGAATTCATACATACCACTCCAACGTGGTGGACCTAGATCACAAACATAACATGTTAACTTATGCTGAAGCATCCTAGCTTCAATGTTTGTCTTTAGGTTTGACCATCCTGTTTGCCAAATATGTTTTACAGTATACATAGAGACAGTACAATATAAACACTGAAAATAACATTTTTCAATTCTACTTGTCAATCGGAATACTTGAGGAAAAGGGGGAAAAGCATATGCAAGAGCAAGTTTAACAGGAATAAATGCACTGCTACTTATGTGATTTATTACTTTTGGCTCAGTGGTTGGAATCTAATAAATCACAACCAGGGGAGACCCACTGTATCAATGGAATTTAGACTGATCAAATCTCCACTGGTGCAATGGGCCTACTCTAGTTGCGACTTTACTACTCGATTTCAGCCAGTAATCTAGTGCAAATATAAACTGGTTTTTTTTTTAAAAAAATTAAAACTGCATAGCAATAGGGGTAGATGTAAAATTATTTTTAATGTGTGTCTGTCTGTGTGTGTGTGTGTGTGTGTGTGTGTGTGTGTGTGTGTGAGAGAGAGAGAGAGAGAGAGAGAGAGACATTAAAACTACTTGTTAGTGATGTACATGAACTTACCTTGCCTACGTAACTCATTTTTGACAGCTTCCACTCCTCCTGTTTTTTCAATAAAATCATATATAACCTTGGATGTTTCTTTGTCTTTCAGCTGAGCCTCTGAAATCCCACACATATCAAACAGGTTTTTCAATTCTGGATCCAAATTGTTAACCTACAAGAAAAATTGTAGTTATAGTAATATAGGTTCTGGTATTATTGTTTTAAAACAAAGCAAAACCATGAGCTCAATAGCAGGTTCTCACAGTCCAAGAAGTGCTTTATTTATGAAAATATCTTTAACATAAAATAATTTTGGATTGCTGGCTTGCAAAGCAAATGTAAAATCAATCGTCTTCAGTAACTTGAAGAGTCAAACTGTGATTGCTCTTTTACTGCTTCTTATTCTATATAGGAAAATATTTAATCTGGCAAAATAAAATTTTAAAAAAGGAGGGAAAACAAGGCAAAATATTATGACACTTTAAAGACTAACAGACATAACATGTAAATAAAATGTTTTCAATATATATACATCCTATGTTGTAGGAGTCACGAGCAGATGTGGGTACTGTATTTGTATGCCTTGTATCTTAAAAACTGGATTTTGGTCACAAAAGCTCACAGTGAAATAAATATATTAATCTTCAAAGTTGTGACGGGAACCCTGACCAATCTGCTTGTTAATGGGGAAACAAACTGAGTGGCTGGGTGGTGCATGCAGCCAGCCTATTCTGGAGCCTGAAGGAAGAGGGGCTGAAGGCTGGAATGTGATGAGAAGCAGAGTTTTAACAGAGGAAAGGATATCAGAATATTATAAAGCTTTTAAATCAATATTGACCCCCAAGTTAAAAATATTTTATAATGGGATATTGGAAGGAGAGAAAATACCAGACTCTTGGAAACATTCTTTAATAACTCTTATTCCAAAATCCAATAAAGATTTAACAGGCCCAAGTTCGTATAGACCTATTTCATTATTAAACCAAGATGCAAAGATATTTGCTGCAATACTGGTGAATAGAATGAACAAGTTTATTACAAAATTAAAAGAGGATGAGAATCAGTTTTAAAAGGGAAGACAAATTCAAAATTTAACTAGGAGGGTTTTGAATATTATATATAATATAGAAAAAGATAAATCAAAGGCAGGTATTTTATCATTAGATATTTTTAGGGCATCTGATTGTGTAGAATGGTCAATGTTAAAGCTTCTTTTAAAGAGCTGGGGTTTTGGGAAGAAATTTAGGGAGATAATAGACCAATTATACGTGGAGAATACTTCTGCAGTAATAGTTAATGATGGGATGACAGAACAGACAGCTCTAGGCCGAGGCACCAGGCAAGGTTGCCCTCTTTCTCCAGTTCTATTTTGTTTGATTCTTGAAATTCTAGCAAATGTAATAAGGAAGGATGATTTAATTGAAGGTATGGGTGAAAAAAATTTAGGGAGATAATAGACCAATTATACGTGGAGAATACTTCTGCAGTAATAGTTAATGATGGGATGACAGAACAGACAGCTCTAGGCCGAGGCACCAGGCAAGGTTGCCCTCTTTCTCCAGTTCTATTTTGTTTGATTCTTGAAATTCTAGCAAATGTAATAAGGAAGGATGATTTAATTGAAGGTATGGGTGAAAATAATAAAATAAAGATTAATTTATTTGCTGATAATTCCCTATTGACAGTGAAAAACCCGTCAGAAAATATAAATAGAATTAAAACTCATTTGGAAAAATCTGGAAAAATAAGTGGATTACATGCAAATTGGCAAAAATCTGAAATATAGTAAGTTAGAACAACAAAGGTTTGCTGATAAATATGGTTTTAAGATATGTAAATCAGTTAAATATTTAGGTATAGAATTATGTAAAAGATACTCAAAAAATAAAGGAACATAATTATAATAAATTAAAAGAAGAAATTAAAAAGAAATTACAGGAATACAATAATTTAAAACTTTCTTGGTTTGGAAGGATTGCACTGATAAAAATGAAAATTTTATCAAAAAGCTATTTTTTATTTAGAATGTTACCAATATAGTTAACAGAGGATTATTCTAAATTTTGGCAAGGAATGATTGCCAAATATTGTAATGAAGGGAAGAGGGCCAGAATAAATAAAAAGTATTGGTATAAAACAACAAAAAGGTGGTATAGGTATACCAAATATAAAGAACTATTATGTGGCTAATCAGTTGAGGTTTATTGAAGAAATTATATATAACCCAGAAAGGTTAATTTGGTGGGAAATGGAATCATCAGAATTACAGGAAGATATTGAAAGATACCTATTTGGTATGGTCAAGAAATAGAAAATAAATGAAATTAATAACCCGTTTTTAAAGACAATGTTAAACATATGGTATAAATATAGAAAGAATTTATGTCCATTTAACTCTCCACTAGGATTAGTGACTGAAATAGAGAATTTTTCTGTCAATATGAAAGCTTATGTGGAATTATTTAAAGAAAAAAGTGATTAGATTGAAAGACTGGTTGTAAAAAAATGAGATCGAAAGATCAAATGAAACAAATCCTTCAGGATACTTCATGGTTGAATTCTATGCAATTAGAAAGATGGACTAATGAATGGGTAAAGACATATAACAAAGGTAGAGAATACATGAAGTATGAACAATTTCTATTATCATATGAAGATATTCAGACGATTGATTCAGTAAAGGGTGCAGTGAATAAAATTTATAGATTCCTGCTTGACTTAGAAGAAGAAAGTGAGAAAGAAGGATTGAAGTTAATGTGGGAACAAGACTTAGGAAAAAGAATAAATGAGGAAGAATGGAGGAAGATGTGGAAAATGAGGGTTTTAAGATTTATGTCAGTAAGAATGAGAGAATTTTTTTCAAATTGGGTTTAAGATGGTATTTAACACTGATAAAATTGAATGAAATTGATGCTAGTTATCTGAATGTCTGTTGGAAATGAGAGAAGGAAATTGGTACATACTTTCCTGTGGTGGGAATGTGAAAAAGTACAAAGATTTTGGAAACTAATCTCGAAAGAACTGAATGACATAAAAGAAAAAGATATAGAATTTAATCCTGAGATTGCTTTGTTATATTTGAGAATGTGGAATATGATAAGAGGACTAAAGAATTGATTACCAATTTATTAACAGCAGCTAGACTAATAATATCTAGGCAATGGAAATCAAAATCTGAATTTCGAATGGACGAATGGTATAATGAAATAAGGAATATAGCTATAAATGATAAGATAACATGTAATTTAAAGGTTAAGAAAGGAGAGTTGAAAAAGAGTAATTTTTATGATATATGGGGCAGATTT